GGCTCGGGTCGTCATCTCTCAGTCGTGGGATCGAGCCCCATGTCAGGCTCTGTGCTGACAGCGTAGAGCCTGCTTGGGCTTCTTCTGTCTCTCCTTTTCTCTCCGCGCCTCCCCCGCTCGTGCGTGCTCGCTTTCTGTCTCTCGCAAATAAATATCTTTTTATTCTCCCAGCAACAAAATCTGAAAGTATGTAAAGGCAACTTATGTTTCTGTGGGAAAGATGGCCTTGTGCTATTGAACAGAAATGTTGACTGAAGAAAATTGTCTCCTTTGAGTTAGCAAAATACACTCATCTACTTCTTAAATGTCTTCATTTTACAGGCAGCACAGTCCGTGCTGATTTCCCTATTTGAACTCAATACTCCAGAGTTTACAATGTTATTAGGAGCTTTACCAAAAACTTTTCAGGATGGTGCTACCAAGCTTCTTCATAATCACCTTCGAAACACTGGCAATGGAACCCAGGTACCTTTCAGTTCTTCTCTCGGCTATCCTGTGATATGATGGATGGTTGGTGTCACAGTAGTTGCTTGCTTTTACACGAAGTAAACTTTTGATCCTAGTATATAATTTTTGCATCTGTACTGGGCAGCATTCCCTAAGCAGAATTAAATCTTGTCCTAGAAAGAGTACCGTCCTCAGGCTTAGCATGTTTCTATCCGCTGGGTTGGTGGTGAACATGGCCAGGACACGAACAGGAAAGTAAAACGCGAGCAGAACTCCGATGAGGGCGGCGGCTCTGCCGGCCGTTGGAATTAGGACGTGCTCTTTAGACAAAAGGGTGCTTGTTGGAGGGCTAGAAGGGGTGACTTGATTGACAAGTAACACCGGAAGAAGCTGGGGCTTTGGAAGGGGTGTTCCAAAACCTGTTCACAGGATTGTGGGCCCGTACTTGCTGGAAGGTACAAACTTTGGTTTTGGGAAAGTGAGGTCTGAATAAATGAAACATTACAGTGTTTTATAGACCTTAAATGGCAAGCATCGTTTACATAATATGCCTAAAGAACTGAACTTAGGTTTTTTAAAAGGAGAAATCAGATGCATTTATAGCAGGCTTAAGGTAAATAAAGTCTGAGAGTTAAAAATAATCAGAAAGATGTCTTGGGACTAAAGCTAGTTCTCTTTTTAAAAGGAGAAGGAATCGTTTAATTATATCTTAGCAGGCAGGCAAATTAATAATATGAGTGAATTTTACTACTTTTTACTTCTGTTTATTTTGAGAGAGCATGAGCAGAGAAGGGCATAGAGAGAAGGAGAGAATCCCAAGCAGGCTCTGAGCCTCAATCTCACAAGCCATGAGATCATGACCTGAGCCAAAATCAAGAGTCAGACACGTAACCGACTGAGCCACCCAGGCACCCCAGAATGGGAAGCTAATTTAAAATTGTTAGTTTGGGGGGCACCTGGGTGGCTCAGTAGGTTAAGCGTCTCTCTCTCTCTCTCTCTCTCTCTCTCTCTCTCTTTTTTTTGTTTTTAACGTTTATTTATTTTTAAGAGACAGAGAGTGCGAGCAGGGGAGGAGCAGAGAGAGAGACACGGAATCCGAAGCAGGCTCCAGGCTCCGAGCTGTCAGCACAGAGCGCGATGCGAGGCTCGAACTCACAGACCGTGAGATCATGACCTGAGGCGAACAAAGTCTGATGCTTAACCGACTGAGCCACCCAGGTGTCCCAGGCATCTGACTCTTGATTTCGGCTCAGGTCGTGGTCTCATGGTTCATGGGATTAAACCCCACATTGGCTCTGTGCTGACAGTACAGAACCTGCTTGGGATTCTCTCTCTCTCTTCTCTCTCTCTCTCCCCGTCTCTCTCTCTCTCTCTCTCTCTTTCTCTGTCCCTCCCCTGCTCACATGCACACTCTCTCTCTCAAAATAAATAAACTGTTGTTTAAAAACAAAATTGTTTTTAAAAAACAAATTGTTAATTTGGGGTCCAATGAATCTTTGAGGAGGAAGATGTTGATGATATTTGAGGGTAGGAAGTGGGTAAGGAAAACAAGAGAAGACTAAAGAGTTAGATATCCAAGTAGGGGGAAAGTTTTTCCCTACAGAAAACAGAGATAAGGACATGAATATTTAAAATACTGACCTGCAAATACAGCTCTTTCATACTGTTCAACTTCTTGATTGCATGGCTTCCTTAAGAGCCTTTTAGTTGAGCTTACCTGTCATGTGTTAATATTTACTTGACTCCCCCCATCAGGGTCCCATGGGGAGTCCTTTGACAAGGCCAACAGCACGTTCACCAGCCAACTGGTCCAGTCCTCTTACTTCTCCTACCAACACATCACAGAATACTTTATCTCCAAGGTAACAAAAGAGTTCTTTTCCATCATGGCTTGTGTTTGCAGATTCCCACTCTTAGACAACGGACATTGATATAATTCCAGTTGATTTCCACTTGGCTTCAAAGGTCTTGACACGTAGAAATGTAGCAGATTCAAAAAATGTTTAAGTTTATTCCCAAACTAAGCCTTAAGTGAAAATAACGCATAGGATATCAAATTTTTTGGTAAGTGCAAAGGACACTTACTTTTGTAAATTACTGCTTGATGCGTTAAATGGCATAGTTATGTTTCTCAGATGTGCTTATAGACCAAAGCATAAAAATAGTGAAGAATGGGGAAAGGCTAAATATGAAATAGCATTCTGACTGTGTCTTCGAAAAAAAATGTGACTATGAGATTGGGCCTTAATACAAAATATAAGCTGTGTAAACTTTTCACACACTTGTGAAGTTCAAGCATAGGCTGTATTTCAGATGAAGTTCTTGACTCATTAATGGACTAACATTTTTTCCCTTTTCCTAGCTTTTAAAAACATTTGCATAGCAGTCCATTTTTATTAGTGTGGTTATTAATTTTATTATTAGCCATGTATCATAGCATGCTTCATCATATTCATTACGTTTATAGAATACTTCAGCATCTGAGGAAGAAAAATACATTGCAGACTTAACATCTAGCCTAGTTATTCCTTGTCACACATATGTGACGATCTGATGGCTGAATTCCAGCTTCAGTTGAGTTTTAGAATCTGATTATAGAATTGTACTATAAACATATGTTCAGTAGTGAAACTTCTCTGCCTTCTGTAAATTTGTGTATAATACCTTTATCTTGTCTTCAAGTTGTGCCGTTATTGTGAACAAATCACAGGAGTTAGCAAACTTTCTGTAAAGGGCCGCATGGTACGTATTTTAGGCCTTGTTACCTGTACCCAGTTCTGCTGGTGCAGCGTAAAGGCGGCCGTAGAGGAGCCCGGAGTAAATAAGTGTTGCGGGTACCGATACCCGATACAATTTTATTTGCGGACCTTGAGAGAAGAATTTTATGTAAGGTGAAATTTTATTTCACGTGTCATGAATTGTTACTTTGACTTTTCTCCCAAGTGTTTAAAGAAGTAAACATTTTTAGATTTCATGGGTCATGGTTTGCTGACCTCTGGTTAATCAGAACATTTTTGAAGGTGAAAGACAAACCAGTTGTTAAGGGCTATGCATTCACAGTCCTCGTAAGCTGCCCTTAGTGGATGGACCAGGGGACATGTGCCTTCACCATTGACAGTGGTCAGGTTTGATTTGGTTTTGCTAATTGTGCTTCGGGGAGTGTACATTCTCATCCTGTTGTTAGAAATACCCTACCTAATCTCAAATGTGTTATGTGTTTTAAAACGACACCCAAATAACAATTAGTCGTCTTTTTCATAGTGCATTTGATTATGACACAGAAAATATGAACTCTGAAGATATTTATAGCTCTCTTAGAGGTGTCACCGAAGCAATTCAGAATTTCAGCTTCCGTAGTCAAGAAGATATGAATGAGCCGTTGAAAAGAGATTCTAAAAAAGATGATGGTGATTCTGTGAGTATTTGAACATTCTTACGGTGCAGACTTGTTCATTAAGAGATTTTTCCTGGGTTGTGTTTTTTTTTTTTTAACTTTCTGTCGTCTTCAGATGTCACTTTTTAGGGGTCACTCTGTAAGCGTTCAATGAGTATCTGCCACACGTCGGGCACTGTGCTGGGTCTTAGATTTTACAATGCAAAGTCACTGCCCTCAAGTTCCTTATGAATTTTCTGATAGAGATGCGTACTATTGAGTTTTAGGTTAGAACATAAAATGAATCTGGTTTTTTTAACGTTTGTTTATTTTGAGAGAGAGAGAACATGAACACACACAAGCAGACTAGCAGAGAGAGAAAGAGAATCCCCAGCAGGCTCCGCACTGTCCACGCAGAGCCCCCGCGTGTGGAGAGATCTCACCAGTCATGAGATCCTGGTCTGAGCCGAAATCAGGACTTGGACACTTAACCAGCTGAGCCACCCAGGCTCCCCAAAGTGAATCTGTTTGAGATTAATCGGTCAGGGAAGGCCTCTCTCAGTAGGTGATTTTTCCACCGAGACCTAAATGGAGCCGTACAAGATCTGGGAGAGGAGAGTCCCATGGAAGAAGTGGCAAGTCTAAAGACATGTAGATGAGAGCAAGTTGTGCCTAGTCGGGAACCAGGATGAGAGGCAGTGTTGTTGGATCGTCATGAGAGGGTTGGGGGGTGGAACGTGGGCCGGATCACATGGGTCTCGTAAGACCTAATGTGTTTCGATTTTTCTTTCCCCCTTAGTGCAGTGGTGGAGATTTGTGTCATCGGTTTGTATGGCTCCAGTGAAGAATGTTAGGACCCATTCTTCTGACATTGGTGAATGCTGCTCAGTTTGTTCATACAAAGAGTAGTTGTTTGGGGCGAGGGAAGGAAAAAAAAAAGAGTAGTTGTCTTTTACCCTGCTGCTGCTGCTGCTGCTTAGACTTTTCTCAGAACAAGCCATCCCGTCATTTCCTATGGAATCTGTGGTTTCTCAGCGTTTGCAGAGTTGGGGAGCACGGCAGTTCTTCAGCACATCTCGAAAGGGCTCCCTCCTCTGCCTTCCCACTGCTGTTTTTCTCCTATCGGGCCAGAGCTGGCTCACCACTCATATTTGAGGTTCCCCGCCCCAAAAGCAATAACGGTTTGGTAAGAATCACTGCTGAGGCTTTTTTTCCTCAGAGATCGCAGGGTGCGGGGTGGGGAGCTCACACAGGATTCTGGCCGAAGTAACTTCAAATCCCGCTTCCTGGCACATACCCAGTAGTCAGATGATATTATCGCGTCTAAAGCTCAGTGTTTCCGTTAGGAAGACGAGGCGACCACATTGTACTCTGAAGGCTGTTGTCAGTGTCAGAAGTGATCCGAGTCTGTCCAGCCCAACTTCCCTCTGGAGCTCACATGCCTCCAGCCCGCTTCCTGCCGCACCTGCAGTCTCGTCCACGAAGCTGCTCCTCTGTGTCGCGGTTGGTAGCACTAGTCACTTAGCCGAAAGCCTGGGACCGGAGAGTTGTCCTCACCGCCCCTCTTTCTCTCATCCTGCACGCTCGCTCTGTCGTCCCGTTTTCAAAATAGATCCAAACTCCGTCCACTTCCGTCACTGCCGTTCTGGCTCCAGCCGGCCTTACCATCAGTCCTCTCTCCCCTGGGCTGTTAAAATCGGCACCGAACCGGCCTCCTTGATTTTGCCGGTGACCCCCTGTCATGTCTTGGCGCACCTCCGCTTGTAACCCTGTGGGACGTCCCAGAATAAAAGCCAACGTCTACACAACAGGCTTTTTTTCCCTGTCACTTCTCTGGCCTCGTCTCCTCCCGCTTTCCTCTGCTCCAGCCACACTGGCTTCCTTGCTGTTCCTTGAACTTCCCGGGCGTGCTCTTGCCTCGGGGCCTTTGTCTGGGCTGTTCCCTCTGTCTTAAACCTGCTTCCTGGCTGATTTCCTTCAAGTCTTGGTTCGCACGGCTTACTCCGACCACCCTAGCCGGTCTGCACTTGCCTCCCTCCCACCGCAGCACTCACGGTCCCTTTAACACGGCACCACCTCCCACACGCGAATCATCTTCCACCATTCTGTCTACTCATTCGTTAGTTTTGTACTGTCTGTCCCCCAACTAGAATGTAGACTCTGTGGAGGTGGACAGCATTCTCTTTTGTGCGTTAATATATCCCCACTGCCAAGAATGAAGCCTGGCACACAGTAGGTGCACGGTGAATGTTTGAAGAATATTAGTAAAGCACCTGAGTAACGGCTTAGCACATAGTTGCTGAGTAGACGGTGGTGATGGTGATCTGATGGTAGTAATGAGTTTCATACTAGTATTAGAATCAGTGTTAGTATCGATGTTTTATGATAAAAGTATGTTCATGCGCTCCAACTCCATCAGGCATCCTTTCAAAAGTTACAAGCCTTGAGGCCTTTGGTAAAAGTGTTTTAATATTTTTTAATGTTTTACTATTCATTTTTGAGAGGCAGAACAAGCAGGGGAGGGGCAGAGAGAGAGAGGGAGACACAGAATCCGAAGCAGGCTCCAGGCTCCAAGCGGTCAGCACAGAGCCCGACACGGGGCTCAAAGCCATGAACCGTGAGATCATGACCGGAGCCGAAGTGGGACACTTAACTGACTGAGCCACCCAGACAACCCCCTCCCTTTTTTTCCTTTTTGGAGAGAGAGACACAGAGAGAGGGTGCACGTGCGAGAGGGAGAGAGCAGGGAAGGGGGAGGGAGAGAGAGAATCCCAAGCAGACTGCATGCCCAGCATGGAGCCTGACGGAGGGCTGAGTCTCAGGAACTGTGAGATCATGACCTGAGCCGAAATGAAGAGTCGGTCACTTAACGAACTGAGCCACCCCAGCAACCCCAAAATTTGATTCTGTTATACTTTGTTGACATCCTGTCCTTGTGTGATTTACTACCTTAACAATGGAATCTGGCAGCTCTTAGTTCCATTTTGGTAGTGAAAGTCCTTTTATGTCTTTAACTGGCGTAGAGAGCTGTGATTGCCTGCGTGTTGTTTGGTCAAGCCCTTAGCAAGGGAACTGCAGGAGTCATTGGAAACAACATTCTTTTATGGTTCTTATTTGCTCTCACAGCTGCGGGTTTTGGTTTTTTTGTTTCTGTTTTACATCTTTACGATAAGCTTTGACATTTTGAATGTAAGTTTTAACTCCTCATGTTGGTTCCTTTGAAGCAACAGAGAAACATCTTTTTTAGAATTTCAAAGAGAGATTTGAAAGTGAGTTAATTTTCTGCGCCTTCCCCTTCCCATTAATAGATGTGTGGCGGTCCCGGGATGCCTGACCCAAGGGCAGGAGGCGATGCTACCGACTCAAGCCAAACCTCCCTTGATAATAAAGCTTCGTTGCTCCAGTCGATGCCTGCTCATTGCTCCCCACGCTCGCGAGACTATAATCCATATAACTATTCAGATAGCATCAGTCCCTTCAATAAGTCCGCCCTCAAGGAAGCCATGTTTGACGACGACGCCGACCAGTTTCCTGACGGTAGGTCGTGGGTCATGTTTGGTCACCTGTGCTTTCGGGGGCTGGCAATCAGTGGAGCAGGAGAAATACCGTAACTCCCTGAGAAGTAAGGAGCTTCGGAATGGAGAGGTGTTCCCCCATCTTCCAGGAGCTCCTTTCTGGTGGTTTGGTAGTTTTCTGCCCCAGAGTGAGAAACAGGGTAACCCCGACATCATCCTCAAAAACCAGGAAAACCATACTGACTGCCCAGAAACAAGTGAAGCCCGCTGCGGCTTAAATTTAGTTTATCTCTAGACGCCGTTCAGCCGTTAATTTTTAGACCAGCGTGACAGAACCTTTGAAGAACCACTCATTCTTTGTAAGGGCCCTTTAATAAAGTGTGAAATCATAAACTCTGATAAGATGTGTTCACGACCAAGTGTGGACAAGGTCACCATTAGAATTTGAAGTCAGCTTAGGACCAACTCCAACACTGTCCGCGGCTTGGACCGAGGGCATAGGACTGAGTTCCAACATTGACTCCGCTGCCCGGCCTGGTGCTTGGTTGACTGTTCCTCAGCGTCCCTTCTGAAGGAGGATGGATACGTACTACCAACCTGCCCTTCCAGCCACACTTTGCAGTTAGGTTCGAGTAAGATGTACAGAGACAAAGTACAAAACACTGCATATGGCTTAGGTATTTTTCGTAACAAGGAACTACATTTTTCTCTGCAAATTTATATAAGTCATTAATTTTTTACTGGAGATTCAAGTAATGTAAAATAATAAATAACTGTATGTGGGTGAATTTGAAAATCCCCCCCTTAACATTCGTATGATACTACGCTCGGGTAGTTTCTGGTTTTCCTTTGTTCCCCCAGTGTTGCTGTCAGTGAACATGTTTCTGCGTAAGCTTTCATGCACCTGTGTAAGTTAATTGACTCTCAGAGATTTCTAGAGACAGAATTGCTTGATAAAGGGATATCTAAGTTGAAGTTTTGAGAGTTACTACCCAATTACTGACTCAGAATACTTGGCCAGTTGAGGTGTAGTGCTGATTGCCTCACCAGCACAGAATACTCAAACCTTTTAAAATTTTGTCACCATGATGGATATAAAATAGGCCATCCCAATGATAGCATTTCCTTAATCACTAGAAAGATTGAGAAGTTAGAGATCAGCAATCTTTTCTTAATTTTTGTAATTTGGTAAGTGGAAAATATCTTCATTTTTATTTCTTTGATTACCAACCAGGTTGACGAATCATGTTTTTACCAATATGTCACGTTAAGAGTCTTAATGTATCGGGGTGCCTGGGCAGCTCAGTTGGTTAAGCACCCGACTTTGGCTCCGGTCATGATCTTGTGGTTCATGGGTTTGAGCCCCACATCGGGCT